TATTATAGTATTAAAAAATATTTTATAAAGCAAACTATATATTAAAAATATAATTTATCTTATAAATTTACTAAAATTTAAAATTTTAATTAATTAATATTATAATTATGATTATAATCAAAATCCCATGCCTGCCCTATCGTCTCTGTTTGGATATTCACTTGCCCAGCACCCTGGTTCCCTTTCCCCATTCTCTACGTTATGGTGAAAATATTTGTGGAAAATTACTTTTGTTTTTTTTAAAAAAAATTTACACTCGAAAAAATTTCACAGTCGTACAGCTTTTTTTTCTCAAATATTTTTCTGAGTCTTGGATTCCTTTCTCTCTTGTCAATATCATAGCCCCCGTTTTCAAAGATGTTAAATGGAAATTATGGAATCGCCTGCCATTCAACCTCATGCAGGCAAAGCTGAGCACGGAGCAACATTCAGCAAAAGCAGGGTAAATAATTCAGAAAGATTGATTATTGGTCCATAGAAAACAGAAAAGGCTGGTGTGACTTTATGAAGATAGATATAAAAAGTTTAACTGGATGGTCAAACCGGGCATGTGACCTAATTGGTTGGCCCTAAGTTTTAGAGTTTGGGTGATGCGAAAGTCAGGGTTTCTAGCTTTGCTACCGCTGTGAACTCCACCAACGTGCGATCTAATGGTCGCGCGCCTTAAATGAGGGGGTGAAACGTTCACTTTTCTGAAAAAATTTCAACTACTAACCAACTAATTTTACTAATTTCCTAACCATCTACTTGGTAAAAAAAAAAAAAAAGTTTAACTGGATGAAAACGTACAATTTTTACCATTGTCTGACATTATGCGCCGGTGAGGGCCTAGAGGCTAGAGCTCAGCAACCATGTGAAATGTGTCCTTAAAATCTCTAGACACCAAAGATTTGACATTTACATTTATTGGTGGCGTAAAAAATTAATTTTAATTTTTTATTTTATAAAATTAATAATTTTTAATTTTTAATTTTATAATATAATATTTTTAATTTTTTATCTTATAAAATTAATAAATTTAAACTTTTTATCTTATATTACAATATTTTTAGTTTTTTTATCTATATAAATTAAAAAAAATAACTCTCATTTAGCATCATGTTATAATATTTTATTAGTTTTATTAATTAACTGTAAATTTTGTTAACTAATTGTAAATTCTGTTAATTGATTGTTAATTTTGTTAACTGACTGTTAATATCCGTTAGCATTCCGTTAATGAAGTTAATAGGTAAAATTAAATTTAAATTTAATGTTTTCTATAATAGAATGCTTAATATATGTTAACAGTTAGTTAACAAAATTAATAAAACGTTATAATCTAATGTTAAGTGAGAGTTATTTTTTCAATTCGTATAAGTGAGGGACTAAAAATGTCATAATATAAAGTAAGAAATTAAAACTTACCAATTTTATAAGGTGAAAAGTTAAAATTTATTAAAAAATTGGTTAAATACCCTTTTTGGTCCCTCTACTATAAGAAAAAACCCCTTTTTAGTCCCTATACCGAAAAAATCCCCTTTTTGATCCTTACTGTTCACAAATCCGGCCCCTTTTTGGTCCCTCCGTTAAATTTTGGCTTACATGGCATGTTAACTAACGGAAAACAGCTGATGTGGTATACCAACGCGTAA